GCAGTTGTTTATATATACACTCTGAAATTTTCGTCAATTGATTGGTTGACTAAGAATACTCTCTCTGATTTTATTCAGTTTGACCTTGAATAGATTTCTTTGTTTATATAGTCAGTCATTCAAGGTTACCAACAGAAACAAATTTTTTTATACGTCATCTACTCATCAATAATGTTTGGTTTTACAAAAAGAAAATTAAACATATGTTGTTAATTGTTATGTAATGAATGACTGTAGCTGCTAGCTTGACGTGATGTGGTTGGGCTTGCCTATCGTGATGACCCAACCGTGCTGTAGGTTCTACTACGCCAGGCAAGTCGATTGGAGAATGCGGTAAGGCTAAAAGTAGCAACTTAAGGTCCTGAGGGCGAGGTCGTACTACTGACTGTAGAAAGGTGTGACAGCCTTAAGTTGTTGCCCTCGAATAATCAGCATCTGCAACGATGCTATCGCCGTACAAGGAAAGAAGCGTTTATAAAAAGTTCACGCCAAAAATGTCACACCTCACGGATTTCCGTCTCCAGCGGGAAGGTCATTTCAAGAGCTGGGCCACCTCTTTAGGCCTTGCAAGATCGGTCTCAGACAGTTGTCCCTTGAACTCCGCAGTCACGCTTATCTGATTTCCTATTCAGGTTCCTTAAGAAATACCCTTCCACCGTGTGGGCAACCGAAAAGTAACACCCGCTCTCATACACACGAGACCACAATCAAATCCTTTCAAGTTATGTAGTGAACAGTGTCTCATATGTTAGCATGCTATGTGATAACTCATCCTTAAATGAGAAGACACTGGCTACTGAATGATAAGTACGACTACCCATCGTTATATATATATATATATATTTCATCCATTTAGAAAACAAATCCACCTCTTGACCAATCACTTGCATTCGTCCTTGAGAACATTTTCTGATTGGCTCACTCACTACTACATCACTGATGATATGTCATATTTATCTAATACATATTTTACCTTTTTTTTGTATCTAGTTGAATCGGATCGATTTCATTTGTCGTGCCCATCAATTAGTTATGGAAGGATATCGTTGGCATTTTCATGAAAGTGTACTAACTGTATGGTCCGCACCAAATTATTGTTATCGTTGTGGTAATGTAGCTGCAATTTTACGATTGAATGAACGATTAGACAAGGAATTTTCTATATTTGAAGCTGCGCCACAGGTAATATAATTCATTCATCTGTATGTTTCATTACACAGTACCTACCTACACACAGTACACATGAACACAGGTTTTTGTGTTTTTTGTCTTTACCAAACAGATTTAAATTCTGTTGATCGTGATTATAGACCGTCAGCAAGTAGTTTATCCAGTCATTAATTAGCTCTAATGCGGCGAACTTTTGGTATAAAAATGTGCTTTTTTGGAAACTTGCTGTGTGAAAAAAGGTGTTAGTGTCAAGTGTTTAAGAACTTCTGAAACAATCAAGCTTGTTGATAATAAGTTTTCCGAGTAAAATTTCTCCTACGAATTGATTAAGTACGATGGATGCTACTCACAAGGTGGTTTATATAAGTAGTATTCAGAGGAGCGTCGTTCAAAAGACCGAAAGAGAAGATAGTTATGAAGTTGTGTGTATTGCAAATGAAAATCCAAAGATAATGTGTACATATTTTCTGCATATCTTCTGCAATCATTTGGTGTTAACGTCTTCGTTCATTACACCAATGTGCTTGTTGGTGTCATAGATCTTATTATGATGAATACCTTCTTCTTAGTTGTTAGTACAATCTAACCAAGTTTGAATAATTCCTTCGATCCCTAATTTTTAAACCCTACTCCTCTCGATTACCGCTTATACTACTGCTATACAGCGCCTACTACAATGAGATTTGATGAATTGACAATTCGATCTCTCTGTACTAATCGAGTGTGTGGCAACTTCAACTGATGTATGTACGTACGTACGTATGTACGAAGTTCTGCATTGTAGCTGACTGAACGTTTAAAACAAGTCATTAAGAAAAACTTCCACTCTCAATGGTTGATACCATTTGATGAAAAGTCAACTTCACCATAGAAGTCGTCTTCTCAATGGAAAACAAGGAGTTTTTTCCTAAACTATTCCCTAATTTGAAATTGTAAAAGATTCTGTAAATATGTAGTTGTCATCATCAATAGCAACGTAGAACTTTGCACGTAAATACAGCAGTTCAAGTTGCCATACCACATTAGCACAGAGAGATGCAATTGTCAATTCAAATGCCATAGTAGTAGAGTTAGTAAAAGTATTAAAAGTAATCGGAGAGAATAGGGTTCGAAGATGTTATTCAAGAAGTATAATTGAATGAGGTAAATTTAGAAGGAGAAAAATAGAGGTGATGGGTAATTCAGAAGGTTAGAATTTCATAGAACACAAACAATAAATACACCTGTGCCATTGCAAATGGTTTTGAGCCATGTCATTCAGGGTCTCTAACCATCGATTATCATCATCTCGCGGATCCCAACCAGGTAGTCGACACCTACCGACATGATTCAGTCCACTTGTCAATGACTTCATGGATTTGTGCCATGTTTTGGTTTGGCCGCCCCTAGCTTTCTTCCAACCTACTCCTACACCACAAAACACTGCTCGTCGAGGCAGTCGGTGGTTAGGCACACCTAACACATGTTCCAACCACCTCAAGTGATGAAGTTTCACTACTTCACCAACTGATCTGCCATCCCTACCTGGAACGCGTTGCCTAACGACAGAGTTGTTTACTCGTCTGTCCCAGAATACACGAGCAATGCTTCGAAGACACCTGTGGTCGAAAACCAGTAATCTACGAATATCTTCTACTCTGACTGGTCAAGTTTCAAAACCATATGTGAGAACGGAGAGACCTGCTGCACAGAACACTCGTCCTTATGTTGGCAAAGGGATATCTCGCCTACGCCATAAATGACGCAAGTTGGCAAAAGCCAATCGAGCTTTCTTTATCCGTGCTGAGATTTCGTTAGTCACCAGCGCTGATGAGATTACCAAGATATTTGAAGGGGTCAACACGCTCAAACATAGATGCTTTATCGATTGTTTACAAATAGGTGTATAACTCTTGTATGTATTATGCGATTGGATTTAATAATAACCATTTATACGTGTGTGAATACTGGGAGCGACCAAACAAAAACATGTCACAAATCTATTGAAGTCACAGACAACTGGATTGTGAGTTATGTTGGTAGTAGGTGTGTAGACTACCTGGTTAGGGATCGCGAGATGATAGTAATCGATGGTTACAGATCTTTAAATAACATGACTAAAAAGTCGTTTGCAATGGCGCAGATGCATCTGTTTTCTCTCAAATTTTAACCTTCTGAATTCCTCGAGGCCTAACCACCAACTGCCTCGACGACCAACAGTTTTTGCTGTATGAGTAGGTTAAAAGAAATCTAGGGGCGGCCTAACCAAAACATGGCACAAATCCATGAAGTCACTGACAAGTGGACTGAGTCATGTTGGTAGATGTAGGCTAACCGCGAGACTAATGGTTACAGACCTTGAACGACATGGCTCAAAATCGTTTTCAATCGCGCAGGTGCATCCATTCTTTGTGTTCTCTTAAATTCTAACCTAAATTCCTTATCATATCTATCTTTCGCTTTCTAACTTTATCTCACTGAAGTATACTGTAATCTTCTCCATTACTGTCAATACTTCTACTATCGCTACCACTATTGGATTTGAACTGACAGTGGCGTCTCTGTGCGAATGCGGTATGGCAACCTGAACTAATGTGCATACGTACGAAGTTCTGTGTTGTATCTGTCTATCCTCAGCACCATTATCTTTCTGTTTTTCAATCGATTCTACTGAATTGTACTTCACAAATCCTATCTCGGAACTCTAATCTTTTCGATTACCACTAATACTTCTTACTACTAATAGGGTTTTGAATGAACACAATAAATCTCTATGTAAGCTAATCTAAAGAGGCATTACAACTTGAACCGATGTATAGTCATGTACAAAGTTCCACATTTGTGAATAATTTTTTGAAACCATGAATCGATCATTGGTTAGACCACCACAATTAGAAACCTGGAAGAAGCACTGAAAGACGGCCGTTTCATTCTGGTGTATGGGACTACTCATCAGCAGTGGCAGTGCGCATCCACGTCTCCTGCACCCCCACAGGATTCGAACCCAGTACCTTTGGTATTGTAGGCGAACGTCTAACCATCGGACCACTGAGCCCAGTATCTAACGGTGTTAATGTCTAACTTGAATATGATATTCGTGCACGTCAATAATGGCTGTTATTGTCGTTTTAATTTTTCCCATTTTTATTACAGGATGTTCGTAGTATACCAGCTCGTCGGCCAATACCAGATTATTTCCTTTGAATATTGCCCATTTTTGTACGCATACACACACACACCTACAGACACATGACAAATGCATTCTTCCGGTATTTGATGTGAATTATTTGTAATCCCCTTGTTTATAGGCCCCTACCCCGACTCCTATTCACTTCACTGTGTTCCTTCTTTTTTCCCTCTATTGTATTCATGTTTGCCCCTACCCGCCCTCGTCTTTTTTTATAACAAACAGTCAAACAAGCGATTAAACTCGCCAAATACGACACACTTTAACTACGACAACAACAACCAAGATCCTGATGTGTATTTTATATGTTCAATTCACTATGAGAAACACGTGGAGAGAGAGACGGAGAAGTGTGTGTGTGTGTAATTTCCTCTCTCTCTCTCCATCTCGCCCGTGTGTGTACAAAAAAATGCCGCGGAAAACATATTTGTTATTATTGATTATTATTATTACTATTATTATTATTTTTCTCAACTATTATTCAATGTAAATTTTTTATTAAAACTGAATTTATATTTAACAAAATAAGAAAAGAAAAGTGAAAAAATTTATGTCTCAGGAAATCATGATGATGTTCATCAGGTGTTCTTACTGTCTTTTCAGCATTGAATGTTGATTGGTTGGTTGAGATGATTGATTGATTGGTTGATGTGATTGGCTGATTCTACCATTGGGCATTTCTTAATTCAGCAACTAATTGAATAAAATCACGATGATTTGCATAGAGTTGTAGATCAGAGCTGATATCGGTCCAACGTACAGCTTCAGCATCATCACCTATGTAGGGTGGATGAAAGTAGTTTTTATTAAGAGTCTATTTCTTGGAATGCTTTTACATCATATAATAACCATTGACAAGGAGGCGGGGAGAGTACTGAAACTAATTTCTTGTAGTGAAAATGTTATTTAACACATTGAGAAGATGAATGGTGAATGTAGGTCTGCGTTGATGATGAGTAACACAGAGGATCTATCTATCTAAGTGATTTGGAAAGCGCTCATTCTAAATCAGTATTGCACATGAGACTCTACAGAATCTGAGGGAACATATATTCTTGGCTAAGTCACTTTAGTGACTCGTGTATTTATCAACAATTAGTTAACTGTGCTGTGAAATAACTCTCTCCTTCCAGTTTCGGTATATATCATACTTTTAGGTGCACTCCATTTGTATGACGATTGTAATAAGTAGCTAAGTACGGATTAGGTTGGACAAGTTTATTTTAGGTAATTGTTAGCGTAGACAGGCAATGAGAATACAAAGCGTTAAAGTAAAGCGAAGTGAAGTTGGTTCGCTCGCTCGCGTTCGGTTACGTATGCACGTAAGCACGTTATTTGATATGTTTGAACTATTATGAGTTTACTTTAGTCGGAAAACGAGAGCGAGCATCCGGCGACATGACAGGTTACTCTAATCCGATTGTCCCAAACTCCCATTGATTAAAAGAAGACTTGATATGAAGTATAACCTGTATTCTACAAACATCCAGAAAGTACGAGGTCCGAGTCCAGTAGCGGAGAAGGATCCCGGACTAGGGATCCGGATCATAAAAGGTTACAGATAATGCATATTCATACATTTAGGTTGAATAGGAAACAACATCGGAGTCTGCGACATTGTCAGTTAGGACGACCAATAGAATTAGGCTTGCAAAAAATTATCTCAGGATATTGGATGAATATCCTATCTCCGCTTCGGTTTGTTTTAGCGCTTTGTATTCTCATGTCTGTCTGCATTAACGTTTGCCTGGATTGAATTCATCCAACTGTATCCGTATTTGGCTTATTACCGCCGTTGGCGCTGAAGAATGATATACGCAAACTGAAGGGGAGATTTATTTCATAGCATACTCGAACATCATGATTAAAGGAGTCATCTCACGGGCCACTAAAAGTAGTGGACCGTACTTCAAATCCACCGCTGCCGCGGGATTCTGAGGGGACAAATGGCGCGTAAAATTAAAGTTGGTCATCAGTTAACATCCGACTTCACGATATTGTGAATTAGACCTGCAGATCAAAGGCTCGGAAAATGGCTCTCTAACTAAACTACCGGCTTCGGTTTGGGTGGCCGAATAGTAAGACAGACCAAAAGCAAATTCATCGGTTTGTATGGTATTGATGTCCCTTTGCACCAATATTTGAGTTCCCATAAAAATGGAATAAAACACGAACCGTTGGTATTCACATTATTAGAGCGGGTGTATTAAATTTACAACATAAATTTTATTAGAAGTAGGCATCAAAATATAAAATGCTCCGCACAGTAAACAAATGTAATTGTGAAGATAGCTAGGTGAGTATAATCGGCAACGAAAAGTAGCTGGAGTATAAGCAAATGAAGCTCCGCCTGTAGACCCTCCGGAGCTTCTGCCGCTACTGTTACAAGCGCGGATAAGGGAGTAGGGTAGGCGACCCCGTCCCGCAAAGAAAACTATCTCGCTAAAAAACCGTTAACAAGAAAAGAAATCATTCAAACCATATGAACTCTGCTCTGGGAGTTAGAATGTCTTCATTTAGAGAAGAGTTATGACGTCTCATGATGAAAGCCGAGTTTCTTCGGAAGTTATGAGGTCGATGACCCTTCCGACAATCAGAATATACTTTCTACACCATATCAAGACTTCTTCCTCTACTTGGTGGGGCATTGAGATACTGGGATTAGAGTAGCCTGTCGTGTCACTGGATTATTTGTCTTTGCTGTCGTTTACCGACTAAGGTGAACTCGTAATAGCATTCAAGCATATCACAATTGACGAGCATAACAGTTGGGTAGGATGAACGGGGAAAAACATGGGAGTATTTTAAACAGTCATCTCATAATCTACTGTGTGCGCGCGCGCGAGAGAGACATTAGACAAGTTTAAAACAAAACAGAATGACATGACATGATTATGTACCTGCAGTCAGCGGGAACAGTGCTAAACAATCACCATGATCATCGTGAAAATTCACTGCCACCGTTTCCATCCATGCATTGTCTGTATTCCGTGGATCATCTACGTAACCTTTGTAAATCTTAATTAACAACAAAAGTATAATTTTTATTGAAAGGTTAGAAAAAATTGAAAATTATTAATATTACTGGAACAACAATAATTTGATTGATTAAGTTCTGTGTCATGATGCATGATAAGACAAGGAAGGAAAGAGAATCAATGTTTTGGATAAGTCTAGATAATACTACCAGACCCCGTCGTGATAACCCCGCCGAGCTATATTGGCTGGAACATATGTTCCCGTAAGCTCTACTGTGCAAGGCAGGTCGATTAGTGAACGGTGTGAGACTAAAAGCAGTAACTCTCAAGATCTGAGGGCGAAGTCGTACTGCCGACTGTAGAGAGGTGTGAAGACAGTAACGTGTTTTCCTCGGACAAACAGCTTCAGCAGCAGCGATGCTACCTTCTCATAAGGAATGAAGCGTTTAGGAAATGTCGGTCCTAGAAATGTCACACCTCGCTTTACCTAACAGATTTCCGGATCCAGCGGAGCAGAGTTAACACCTCAACCTTACTACTAAAAAGTCGTGCATGACCGGCCTCAAGCAGTTGTCCCTTGGGCTCTGTGGTCACGCCACCAACATTAATAAGGTTTCTCAAGAAATACCCTTCCAGTGGGGAAGTGATATCCGCCCTCATACTCGTAACCATACACGAGACTGTACATCTATTTTATGTTGGAAGGATGAATACACAACAAATCAATCAGTTAGCTATGATGTAGAACTTCGTACGTACATACGTGCGTACATCAATTCAAATTGTCATTTCATATTAACACACAGAGATGCAATTGACAATTCAAATCCCATAGTAGTAGAAGTATTAGCAATAATGAAGAAGATTAGAGGTCGAAGATACGGTTCCAGAAGTATAAGCCGACATAATTCTAAAAAAAAGGTCACGAGGAATTCAGAAGATTAGAATTTGAGAAAACACAAAGAATGAATGCATCTGCACCATTGCAAACGGCATTGAGCCATGTCATTCAGGATCTCTAACCATCGGTTACTAACATCTCGTGGACCGCAACCAGTTAGTCTACACCTACCGACATGACCCAGTCCACTTGTCAATGACTTCATGAATGTCTGCCACCTTTCGGTTTAGCCTACCTTAGCTTTCCTCCAACCTGTTCCTACATCGCAAGGCATAGCTCGACGAGGCAGTCGGTGGCTAGGCATACGTAACACATGTCCCAAACACCTCAACTGATGAAGTTTCAATACTTCATCGGATGCCTGCCGGTCAGTTCAGTGGTTCAGACGCTAAACACCCACCGGCACGAGACCGAAGCTCCTGGGTTCGAATCCTGTGCAAGTAGCAAGAGTCATGACTGCACACTGTCACTACGGATGAGTGTAGTCTCATACTATAGGACGAAACAGCCGCCTTTCAATGCTTCCAATTTTCTAATTACTGATGATTCATGATTTCAACAATGAATTCTTGTTTGTTTCAATGGTGAAAACAATTTTTTTATCAACTATTAAGCAACATTAAACAGATGAATTTCAACTTTATTTACAAAAACAAAGAATTCATAAATTGCGCACACCCACACATACAACCAAGCAACTAACAAATATTTTTTTAACAATGTGATTATTCAACGATCATTCGATACACAGCAAGCAGCGCAAAGCAAAGCAAAGGCAAACAGTTAATGTTATTTACTGTTTTGTTTGTGGGTTTTACTTAAAAACAGTACTATACTATGTTAAAGTACTGTTTAGTTAGTAATGAATAATAATACATATTAGTAGTACACATAGTACTACTATTTTCTATGCACACTTTTAAATATGTAGATAGATAGATAGATATGTAAGATAAATGATGAACTTTTGTCTAAACACAGAAAAAAAAATCAATTCTTAAAAAAATTTCTTGTTTTTTTGAAAATAGAACTTACTCTAATATATTTTTTACACATTTGAAATCATTAATCAATCAATCATTGTTAGACCACTATCAGAAACCTGGAAGAAGCACTGGACGGCCGTTTCGTCCTGGTATGGGACTCATCAGTGGCAGTGCGCATCCACGACTCCTGCTCCTCGCAGGATTCGAACCCGAGACCTTTGGCATTGTAGGCGAACGCCTTACCACCGTCCATTTCTTCCAGGTTTCTTCTAGTGGTGGTCTAACAATGATTGATTGATGATGATTTCAAATGTGTAAAAAATCGCAAACCTCCAAAACTGTGCCCCAAAAAGACTCTAATATATATTGGTGGCTACGTTAATTTCAACGTAGGACTGATCATTTTAGTGACTCACGTATTGACTCCAATATTTATCAACAATTAATTAACTATGCACTCCATTTGTGTGACGATTGTAATAAGTAGCTAAGTACGGATTTGGTTGGACGAGTTTATTTTAGGTAATTGTTAGCGTAGACAGGCAATGAGAATACAAAGCGTTAAAGTAAAGCGAAGTGAAGTTCGTTCGCTCGCTCGCTCATCTCCTCTGCTTCTGTTTGCTTTTAAGCTATGTTTTATTACCTGGAATAAACTCATCCAACCGAATCCGTATCAGGTTTCTTATTATTGCCGCATCTTGTCAGCATCTTCACCAAACACAACTATGTGATGTACATATTCTAAGCTATCAAATGAATCTCCTCAATAATAGGTCATATGGTGAAAGTTTTATCCTCAAAGTCAATGTCAATCGCAAAGGTAGCAATGAATGTTGAAAACAGGCAGCGCTGAGAAACACCATTTGAAGTGGTCAATTCCGATAACAGTTCGCCATAAGCTTCGACTCTACCAGTAGTATTGGAGTAGAGAGCCTAACTATAATGGTAGTGTACTTATTTGGTACTCGTTCCAATGACAATCACTGCTACAGAACCCGATGATCAACAGAGACAAACGCCGCCTTAAGGTCAAGGAATACAACTTATTGTTGGATGTCGAAAAGTGTGTAGGTAATACTTTTAGGGTCGATTTTTTCTCACCCCTTTCCATGGTCAACACATCGCTGCAGATACTGGCTGTCCGAGTGAAAACACCTTATTACTGTCAGCAGTACAACTTCTTCGCCCTCAGATCTCCAACCTATCTGTCTTGTTTGCACGTGTTCTAGCCAATATATAGCTCGATTGATTCATCACATAATAGACAAGCTCGATTACCACGTCAATCAAGGTTAGCAGCAGCTACAGTCAGGATAACCACACACACACACAGACAAATACAAAACACAACATTAGAAATACCAGTACATCTTGAACTAGTGATAGGGAGTGAAGTAGTCGAGCGTGTAGACAGACCGCTTCACTTATCTGGGGAGTCTCATCAGTGCCGATGACCTGGTGATTGACGAAATCTCAGCACGGATACAGAAGGCTCGATTGGCTTTTGCCAACCTGCGTAACTTATGGCGTAGGCGTGATATCCGTTCGCTAACCAAAGGACGGGTGTACTGCGCAGCAGTTCGCTGCGTTCTCCTATATGGATGTGAAACATGGCCGTTAAGAGTAGAAGATATTCTTAGGTTACTAGTATTCGATCATAGATGTTTAAGAAACATTGCTCGTATATCGTGGGACAACCGAGTAAGCAATGCTGTCGTTAGGAAACGAGTACTAGGTAAGAATGGCAGATCAATAGATAAAGTTGTGAACCTTCATCAGTTGAGGTGGTAGGGACATGTGTTACGTATGCACAACTACCGACTGCCTCGACGAGCTATGTTTTGTGGTGTAGGAATAGGTTTGGAAGAAAGCTAGGGGCGGCCAGACCAAAACATGACACAAATCCATGAAGTCACAGTTAAGTGAACTGAGCCATGTTAGTACGTGAAGGCTACCTGGTTGGGGTTCACGAGACAATAGTAATCGGTGGTTAAAGACTTTGAATGACATGGTTCGGAATTGTTCGCAACGGCGTAAGTACATCCGTTCTTTGTCTTTTCTCAAATTCGAATCTTTTAAATTCCTAATCACCTTTATCTTTCTGTTTTTAAACTTACCCCATCGGATTACACTTCTCGAATCGTATCTTCGATCTTTAGTCCTTCCTATTACTGCTTATACTGCTATAACTTTTACAACTATGGGTTTAAATTGACTTAAACAATATAGTCATATGTTTACTAATGACTCAGATTGAAAGATAAATTCGTTGAATTTTTTAACGAAAGCTGTAATAATCAGTGCAGTTCTTAGTCAAACGAACATTAAGTATGAAGGTTAGTGATACCACTCGTTAATCGAAAGAGATTAGAACTTTGAGGCTACTGGGCGAAAGTTGAGCACGCCTTAAGGATTGGACTTAGTCATTGTTTAAGTTCTGCCTAGGCTCTCTATTCCATGAGGTTGTGAATGTGAAGACCATTATTCTACAGTTTGAACATAGGAAGCAACCTAAGACTTACATGTTTCACCATTATCATGAGAGGATAATATTTTTTACAGGTCGATATGATGAAAGCACTATTCGATGTAATGTCAGTGATAACTGGCTTCAGTTCTGGATGTTAGTTGACAATGATATGTGCCGCTAGGATACTGACCCGGGGGTGATTTCTTTCGCAGGCTACTCACCTCGAGCCTTTGACCTCAGCGTCCAGGCCACAAGGCACCTCTCATGGTATCCAACTACTAACAAGTTTTTATACACCATTCATTCCATCAGGATTCTGGAGCTCATGTGAACCCCACTGGCTTACAATGTAGGTTTCCAATTCCACTAGGCAGATCCTAAATACCCACTAACTCCGTTAAAGTAGCAGATAATTGCTTTTCGCCCTATCCAATCGATGTCACGGGAACGCAGTGAGCAAGACCTCCCTGTCCGCGGCTGTCAAAACATCACACATCAATTTTAAGCGTGGGAAAAAAAACGGAATACTTCTCTCGTATCAATACTTATTGATTACTTACCTCAACTCCATGATGAAAAGCATCATCGACACGTTTTACAATAGCTTCTAATTCTTTTGGTGAAGCTGTTGTAGAATTTAACGCTTCTTCAGAAAATTCTCTTTTCAATGTAGAAGTATAATTCTCACCAGCATCTACCATACCCTTTTTTCAACACAAAAATAATAAAATGTATGTATAGTTTTAAATTAAAAAAATTTTAAATCAGTTAGTTAGAAAGTACATTTAATGTAGTTAAATTGTTAGTGGGACATAGATGGAATTAAAGCATGATTACGTTGCTACGCGCTGATTGGCTAATTTCCTATCCAATCAGCGCCTGATCGATTTTTGGAGAACAATAGTAGAAGATTCTCGTTCGTATTGTTAGCTGCGTGCTGATTGGTTAAATCTAATCCAGTCGA